TTTATTGCAAAAATATCCCAGGCCTTCTCGGAACCTTCCCCTCGTCCTCTCTGATGAGTAAGTAATTTCTTACTCACCCTTGCAGTGCCCGCTCCACCGCTCTCTCTCCTCTTAATCTTACTGACACGTCCACTTCCTCCCACTCGCCATTGTGAGTTTGCGCCTGATAGTATTTGCGAACCGGTCCGAGTTAATTTCTTATATTTTATTGTGCTCAGTTCTTCTGCTTTTTGGTTTTGTGTTTTTCGTTACTGATTTAAAATGTCAGGAAAAAGAAAGAAGGTTGTGTTGACGATTGCGCAAAAACTAGAATTAATTTCCAAAGTAGCAAACAGCGCTACAAGGTAGCAGATGGAACTGGATTACGGAATCGCGGAAACAACAGCGCGTGACGTTCTAAATCAAAAAGACAAATTGGTGAACTTTGCATCAATGTCGGACAGTGCTACTGCAATGAAACCGCGAAAAACTATGAAGGGTCTACCTTTGATGAGCTAGACACGGCATTGACAGCTTGGTTAGCTCAAGTCCGAAAAGAGGGTACTTCTGTAAATGGTCCTATCATTGCGGCGAAGTCAAAAACCTTTTTGGAGTTGTTAGGCCTGAAAGGAAATTTTGATGTGTCTTCTGGTTGGTTGATTCGTTTTAAGCAGCGACATGGAATTCTAGAAATTGGACTTCATGGGGAGAAACTTAGTGGTGACCAACAAGCAGCCGACGATTTCCACCATGAATTTAAAGAATTTGCTTTAAAAGAAGAGCTATCTTTTGAACAAATTTACAATGCCGACGAATCGGGACTTTTGTGGAAATGTCTTCCCACTCGCACTTTAGCATTTGAAAATGAAAGTAAAGCGGCGGGTCATAAAAGCATCAAGGAAGGGATCACTATCATGTCTTGCAGTAACGCTACCGGTGAACATAAACTTAGACTTGTTGTCACTGGAAAGTCAAAAAAACCGAGATCTTTCAAAGGCAGAAGGATGGAAAATTTGCTCGTTGATTACTTTAACAAAAGAAAAAAAAAAAAAAAAAAAAAAAAAAGGATGGATGGATGAACCGAAACATTTTTCAAGAATGGTTCGAAAAAACCTTTTCAAGTGCGTAAACATCTTAAATCGAAAAACCTGCCTGAAAAAGCTGTGCTATTGATCGACAACGTACCTTCTCACCCTGCAACAAGCGTGCTAAAGTCTTCTGATGGACAAATTTTTGCAAAGTTTCTCCCCCCAAACGTTACTGCGCTAATCCAACCCATGGAACAAGGAGTCATTGCAACAATGAAGAGAACATACGGAACCAAGCTGCTAATGACCAAAATTGAAGAAGGTTATGATCTGAAAGAGTTTTGGAAACACTACACAATCTTGGACAGCATCTGCATGGGACTCAGTGAAACCGTCAACCCTCATAAAATCATGGAAAAAACTCATGCCTAATGTTGAAGCCAAAAACAACCTAACCCCTTCCACGGCAACTCTTGCCGATGTGGTGAAAACAGTTCCGGGTGTTGAGAACGTCGATGCTGAAAACATTAACGAGTGATTGGACTCTGACGTCAACGAACTTGGCTTCGAACGCTTGACAGATGACGAAATTGTGAAGAAAGCAAGAGGAAAGACCGAAAATGAAGGACAGAGAAGTGAAGGCGAAGAAGAGTCCATTGTGCAGATGCGGAAGACTCACGAAGCGGCTTTGCAGTAAGTCGACGGATTGCTGAGCTATTTGGAAGAACAAGACGACGTGGATTTGGCCGAAAAACTTATGCTACGAAAAATGCAATCTCGGATCAAGAGAAAATGCTTCCAAAGCAAGAAGCAAACAAAAAGTGACTGATTTCTTCAAAAAGGTGTAGTTTTACAGTTATGCTTTTGTAATTACATAATACATTACAGTATTAAAACAGTACATATGTTTTAATTTTTCTGTGTATCCTTGACGCCTCTCGTAAGTATACAAAGCACTTTTCTGTTTTCATTAACAAAATGCATTTTAGGTTAGTTTTGAGTGACATACTAAAATATTAAGCGTTAGTTAAACATTCTCTGCTGTTTATTTTACGTTTTATTGTATATAAAAAGTTGGAATGACCTTTTTTTCTTTTCCTATACCTATTTTTAGCTTTTTCGGATTATCCGCAATTTTTGTTATCCGCGGCGGCCGCGCCACCCAATTCCGCGGATAATCGGGAGTGTACTGTACATAATAATACATATAGAAGTAAATGAATGTTATGCATTGTATTGTTTAAATAACCTGACATAGTTGAAAAATAACCTGATGTAATTGAACATGATTTTTAGATTAAATTCAGTTTTTAACTGGCAAAGTTATACACAAGAAAAACTGCGCATGCAGCCCCAAAATTAAATTTAAGGAACGCCTTTTTAAAGGGTGGCATATATACATATTTTTTTTTTTATATTTACTCTATTATTTCTTTAAAAATAAGCACATGGAAATAATATTCGAAAAGTGATACGGAAAAAAAAAAAAAAAAAAAAAATGTGAAGGATCGAAACTAATATCACCTCTAATGCTAATGCTAATAATAATAACAATAATAATAACAGTGTGACTGAACTTCTGGCAGCATGTACGAAAAATGTAAGAAGGCAAAATACATTTAAATTCTGTCAAGATGATAATTTAAATTCTAAGGAGGGAAAAAAAAAAACAAAAAAAAAAAAAAAAAAAAAAAAAAAAAAAAAAAAAAAGTCGTAATAATAGCATGATGATAATTCGTTTGTTGAGAGCTTAACGCATTGCAGCATGATTACTTAAACGGATTAATTTTGATAGACGCAATCCAGAAAAATAATTACAAATAATTTGGAACAAAAAAGTAGTTAGCCAAGCCAAATTAAAAGGTGGAATTAAAAGGATAAATTAAAATTTTGCGTACATACCTGTGTGTGAGGATCCTTACCTTGCCATAGTGCCTGAGAACAACACTCTTCATGAAATGGCTGAAAGTTTAAAGGCTAGGAGAAATAATATGCTAGTCCAATTGACATTTTAGCTTGAACATTGAATGGAGATTATCAACGACTTTTACACACTATGAAAGTGGACAACAGAGGCATGAATATTTACAGGAAATTTGTCGCAATAAAGAAAATAAAAGTTCTTTCATCTTTCTAACGTCGGACAATTTCTTTATACGTCTTATGTAGTCACGGCCGCCTCTCTGCGATTTTTTTTTTTTTTTTTTTTTTTTTTTTTTTTTTTTTGCACAAAGTAGTTCTGTCTAGCAGAGTGCGGCGCCATCTAATTTACTAATAGCTTCTTGACTCCTCTTTAATTTTTTAATAAATCTCATTCATTTCTCTATCCTAAAACTAACAACATTTCTGTACTGTATTCTAGGTTAATCTACGCCACGAAGCTCGCGTAACGCTGATGACATAGTTATTTTAGAACCTATACTCTTGAAGACTGAAACTTTTGTAAACCAAAGCCTTCCTTTTTAGTAAGCTGCCATATTAGATAAATGCTTATTTCGCTTGTGTCTCTGTTGCTGCTTGGACGTAATTTTATTTCGCTGTGTTCTCTTCCTATCGCAATAGTAAAATAGTTCAAAAATGTAAATGTTCTGAAAATAAGCACGATTACAGTGCCAAGTGAACTGTAGTTATAAATGTGAATTTAAAACTAAAACTGCCTGGACTGCCAAATTTTTTATTCATTGTGAATCATCATTTTAGTATTCTCCGCAATCAGTGTTCTTTCTCTTTAATATGGATCTACGTACTACGCCTAATAATATTGCTTGGTCGTTTTCTCTTTTTTATCACATATATATACATTAATATATAATGTAAAATGTAAGACTGACTTTGAAAACAATAATTCTGCACATTTGCTGCTAATGTTGACGTAAAATAATTAAGTTAATAAATTATAACCACATAGGTGATTTTATGAGTTAAGAACTAAAAAATTAAATTAATTAAATAAAATCTACTTTAAAATCTATTTTCATTTTTATTTTATAATTTAAAAAAAAATTGACTTTTAATTAAAAAGTTTTTTTTTGGTATTAGTTTTTAAATTAAAATTGACTGTGTAGTTGTAATTTAATTTAGTTTTCTTATTATGAATTATTGGTTTATATAATAATTCTTATTATGAATTATTGGTTTATATACTGAAAGCAAATTTTGAAAGATATAAAACAAAAGACTGAAAAAATAAAAAACAAAAACTGAAGTAATTTCTTTAATGTATAATAAATACTTTTTGCAAATAAATTTGAAAACAACGTATTCCGTTATATATATTTGTCTTTTCAAAGAATTTTAAGTCGTAAATAGTATTAAAAACATCAGTGATGTAAGAAAATAATACAGTTTTAATTTTATAAAAATAAATGCCTTCAGCGTTATTTTTTCAAAAGTAAATTTCAGAATTCCGATTTGATTATAATATGATTTACGTATTTTTATTTCATTAAAAAAGCGTCTTACAACCTTAAATCGTTAAAAAAAAAAAAAAAAAAAAAAACTCAGAAATTTATTTTTCAAATCCCCGCTTAATTTTAGAAAGGTATCATAAACTGATGTTACCGTAGCATATATATATATATTTTCCCTTCTAAAAGGGGAGAAATATGTTACTAATTGCATCACTTATGGCTTATCGAAATATTTATTCTGTGTTCACTACTTATAATTATTAGGAGTAATACATATATAATTTAATTACTGTGCATCATGATACGTTTCAAATCTCCGTTAAAAATGAATGGTTAACGGTGAAACCAATATTTATTTATAACATTTAAAATAACATATGCGGAAAAACAAACAACTCACTTTTATTAGTTGCATATATTAATATGTAATTAATCCAAGTTCCTAATAAAATGGAATTGGGAATCGAAAGCAAAAAAAGTACAGAAATATGCGCTGCTTTTGAAAATTGCAAATTGGCGACAATCATTACAACTTGGCGCTAAAACATTTCATAGCAACCCTTAATCTGACTGAAGCCGTAGTGCTGCTGGAAACAATACGCTATATCTTTTATAAGCTGTTTTACACAAGTGTGCTTAGATAAGAATAAGTTTCGAGTATCCCAATGGCACCTTTTGGTTGCCTTTTAATTGTTCAAGTGTTGCTTCCAGAATTTTTATTTCTCTGTTTTGCCATGGGCGATGACGTCAGCGAAGTCACGTGGGCGCACGCTGTCAACAGCCGGCACATGCTTGAGACGGAATTGGCGGGTAAGTTTTTTGTTTTGGTTATCGTCCTTCAAATTTCATTGCTTGCGTTTTATATACTATTACTAATTGCGTCGCGAAGGAAAACGGCAGGAAATTTTACATCGATATTTTTGCCTTTCTTTCTAATGTAAATGATAGAAATATGAATATCTGTAATTGTGAAAAAATCTGGTTTTCTCATAATTATTTTAATAGCTTCAAAATTTCGTTTTTTAATGGTTCGTATTATATGTATTTCGTAATATGCAAATGCATTACGCTTTGTTCTCGAAACAGCCAATTAATGTGAATATTCTATCGTAGGCATCGTAAAAGTTTTGTTTTAATTTGTGATCTAGATATATAGTTTGTGCTTAGATATTCCATGTTTACGAACTTTGCTAATTACTATGCAAAATCATAGGCCAAATCATGACTCGTTTACACATGATACATATTGTTGTTTGGAAGTTAAACCAGGATAACTAACTGGAATTGTACTTTTATTTATTATTATTTTATGAAAAATATTATAAAAGCTAACTTTACTTTATACACAATAAAATAATCTTTAATTCATGGATTTTAAAATAAAATATTTCAGTTCAATTTTATGAGAATTTTAAATTGCGTTTTGTCGAAATTTGCGTCCACCAGTGGTTGAATAGATATCATTGACTACTGGTAGTTCGATCTAGTTTCTAATCCAGGCTAATGGCCTGGGTTCCTGGATGTTTTTGCACTTTTCAGCTTGTATATGTTGTTTCAGCTTGTTGCCAAAAATTTTAGCAGTTTTGATATTTCTTTAACTTATTATAATAATTTTACAATTACCAAATATTTTTACACAATGTATCTGAAAATAGATATAGATACGACAATACAGATAAAAAAAAAAAAAAAAAAAAAAAAAAAAAAAACGTTTCGACGCATAGTCACGACGACGTTGTCATTTCGTCTTTTAAAATTTTCACATTGTTCTCTGTGTTAAAATTAGAAATTAAAGTTAATGACCTAAAAGTGCAATAGTATATTACAGTACGAGTGAAAAAATGGACAGTTTCACTCACGCGTGTGTCGGATTTGCGCAATACTTATGTGGTCCCACAAAATTTTCGTAAATATTATGGGGTCCTGGGGGTCGAGAAACAATCTCAGTTATAAAAAGGGGTCGCGACTAAAAAAAGTTTAAGAAACCCTGCTTTAAACAAATAGCCCCAGTGTGTGTTACTCTATTCAGAGAAACTTGCTTTGAACGAAACTTGTATCAGTTTCTTTATAAAGTACTCATTGCAAAATATTTAAAATAATAAGCATGTACGTTCTATTTACATATTTTTATAAACTTAGTTCTAAAGATTATGAAATGTTGGTATGAAATATGATTATCCATCAACGATCTATATGATAGTACATTGTCCAAATTTTCTTTTTATCTTTTTTTTAAAAACTGTGTAGTGAATGGTCAAATAGCATGACATTTCATGTAATAAATTTACTCTAAGTAAAAAATGAGCCAGCCAGCGCCTAGCCGTAAAATCGCTGAACTCTTGATAGTTTGATCCGGATTCAAATCTCAAGGAATGAGCTTTTATGGTTCACCTCATGGGTTGCTTAAATACGAGCTAGTTTTCCTTCAAAAATCATTTTCGAAGATATAGCCCTTTGCACATAGCCGTAATCAATTAAGCACTTTGAATGCATAATTCCTTTGCATAAGCTTGAATGTGACTATCGTTTACATCCAGGCTTACTACATGAAGCTTAATGGAAAATCTTTTAGCAGCACATCAGTTAAAAACATTTCGTTTTATTAGACGCGGTCTATAATTTGATCTGCCGTAAAATTATCCCGCCGCAAAATATATATCCGCCGTATAATAATAAATGTGAATAATAATTAATAATAATAAAATATATATACGCCGTAAAATTAATATCAACAGTTGACGTGTAAGGCTAAATTACTATATTTTGGCAAAATACACTACGGATATTTGCATGGAGTACCTTCATGGAGGCAAGGAGTACCTTCATGGAGGATTTTGTGAGGAACTGGCTTGCATTCAATTTATACATGGAGAAACAAAGAAAATGTCCATACAGGCATCTTTTTCGCTGCGATACGAACAAGGCTACAACTACCTATGTTCAGTACTCTTATCCATTCTGCCTTTGGTGATCCGGATATTGTAAATAGAGATTTCAGTTGTTAAACTGAATTAAAAGCATGAAAATGCAAGTCTTTTTAATAATTGTACACACAAACATAAATTCTGAGGTTTTCGTATAAAATTAAACCTTCAATAATTCTGTTACAGTGCAACTTCCCTAAGACGCCCAATCAGGATTGGATTATTCAGTTATCGCAAAGCACACGAGGGCTATCTGCCTAAAGGGAGGGATGCCTTCGTGGAGGACTTTCTAAGGGAAACTGGCTCGTATATACGTTACACATGGGGAAAACCACGAAAACGCCCAGCCCGTTCGCAGGATTCGAACCTCGGACCGAACTACCAGTGTTCAGCGTCTTTACCGATCGGCCGCTGGTGGGCTCTAGACGCCCAGTCAGAAGCGATAAAACCGCTGAACACAGGTAGTTCGACCCATATTCAAATCTCGGTGAATGGACTAGGTGCATGGGATTTCCATGGTTTTCCCCACGTGTAATGTGAACATCAGCCAGTTTCATCTCTTCTCTTTGGCAGATAGCCCAGTTGTGCCATACTCCAAATAAATTAAACCAATACCATAACTATCTTCCAGAATATTTCCGTTTTCTGTGCAGATGGTCGTGTTAGAAACACGTTCACTGCCAGTATTTATTTATGCTCTAAGAAATACTGGTTATTTTGAGAGGTGGTCTTTTGCAAAAAATAAGCACCAAGAAAAGTTTAACGCGTTTGGTACTTTATTCATACGTTTAGCTATGATATTATTGTAGGGAATTTACAACTTTGTTTCCTAATGGTGGAAAATAATAAGAATGTTCCTTTGTGACACAGCTGCAAATAAATTGGTTGTCAAGGGAGCAATTATTACATCAGAATTCTTGCTGCTACATATGGAACGCATCCAAGTTCATTATTCAGGATGTTACGCAAGAACGTTATAACAAAAGACAGACAGCAAGAGAATTTGGCGGGACGTAATAAGAGAAGTCCAAAATTGATTTGACTCATAGGCTATGAATGAAAACAAAGATGATTTATATCATTCTACTGCTGTGTATTTCAGAATATCATCACTTCTACGTCAAATTCATCAATCCGCAAAATGAGAAAAGTGCGTGTGAACATTCGACGCACGCATAGTTTTGAAAACATATCGAGCTATATTAAAGGTGATTGAAGTTCTCAATTTCGAATGATCTGAAATGAAAACCATTGCGTTTTCAAAATGGCTTTAAAACTTTGCGTGAATATTCGTGAAACAATAGAATTTTGTTTTGGTGAAGAAAAATAAAATAAAAAAATTCCCTTTAAATGGTTCTGTGATACATAAATATATGCATCGCGCGATATCAAAATATGAAAAATACTTTACGTGTGACACATGCACATTACAAACAGTATGTGATAAAAAAAACGCTAAATATGCTTTCCGTTGCTTATGAAAACTGGATTATTTAATCGCAATGGTTTTTTTTTTAATTAAAAAACCGCGCTTTTCTGTGAAATTATTTTATCGAAACGACAGTCTTGTTTAAAAATTTGTAAAATGTTTGGAACTTTCAGTATGTTAAACGCCAGTCCAATGTCTGAGAACAGCTTGTATAAAATAAGTTAAAATATTAAATGACTGACTAGGCTATTTGAACATCAGACTTGGTATCAAATAGGCCTATAAAATAAACTATGTTCAAGAGTTGTACATTCGTAGAAGAGCGGAGAAATATTACTATTTCAGTTTATTGCTTGGATGGATGTCGACGATGAATGGTTTTGAAACATTATGTGATATGATAAAGCATATTTCCATCTTCGCGGGGGTATTGCTAATGCGCAAAATTCGAGAATTTGGGCTAGGGTTCTTCTTTCGCCAGAGGTCATTATGTGGTGGCGCATTTGCAACAGCAATTATTGCCCGCCCTTTCTTTTTTGAAGTAGTCAGTCCAGAAGATTACATCGCTTGTTCTATTAATGGAAATAGACATGAATCTTTCTTGAAAATACACGTTGTTTCCACAAAGAATGATTCACAGATGCCTGGATACTGCATTCCATTCACCGAGGTCAGTTCCAAGAAGTTGAATTCATTCCAAAATGCTGAATAACCAAGTAGTTGAATTCATGGGATTTTCGGCTTTAGGGATATTTAAAAGAATTTTGAAGTTATGCTTGATGTATATCTGCATATTTAGGATAAGTGAAAGCTTGCAATACGCATTATATCCACAACAGCTATTGCCCGTTGTAGCCCAATATTTGTGACTGTTACAGAAATACTCATTCTTCTATGAGCTCCCTGTTTTGCAATTTCGGCTTGTACCACAAAGCGAATGACAATTACACTGAGCATTACTTAATGCCACTTTGATACTTTGTTGGTTATTCTGGCATGCAGTGGGAGATGCATTACTCCTGCTCTTTCCAGATTCCTGAATGAGTCCCCTTAGGGTCCTGACGTATGTAAAAATCCAAAGATGAAGCTTCTCCAGTTGTAAAAGAGAGAAGGAAAAAAAAAAAAAAAAAAAAAACTTGATACGACTCATAGATGTCTGTTCCTTTTGTGTCACTTTTCATTTCAAGACACGCCAGTTATCCTCTCCGCGGCAAATGTTTGGGCTTCATACCCTTCTTTGCGAAATAAAATTCTATTCGTTCATCAGTATTCACGAAAAGTTTCTTATGACCTCGTGTTATTTTGTATGTGTGTGTATTGAGAATACGGCAAAGCATACTAGGGCTGTCTGCCTAAGGGGAGGGATGCCTTCGTGGAGGACTTTATAAGAGAAACTGGCTCGTATACACGTTACACATAGGGAAAACCACGAAAACGCCCATGCAGCCAGCCCGTTC